ATATACTCGTTGGATGCGAATAAAGAATGTTAATTTTTTATTCTATGGGGTAATTAATCTGAGTTTAATGGTTTCAAGGGACTGAATAATCCAAAAGTTATTTCTTCACGAACTGGGAACCATAACCTTTAAACAATTCGTGCTATCCTAATGTTTAATACTCTAGGCTCTCTTCAGCGTTCGACGTAGAAGCAAGTGGATACAAGGAAAATAACTTGTCACAAATCTGAAAGTTCATAAATTGATTGTGAAAGATGAAGTGTAAGTACCTCAACGTATAATGAAATGCTTGTCTAATGCACAGCGATCGTTATCATTTCATTCAGTGAAGTCATTAATTGATTAAGACCATGTTAGGAGTTATTTTTGCATGCATACGATAGTATGTTACAGCCAAGTTGAAAGCGTCGGATTCTTTATGCTACTTACCAGGAATGTTAAACATTATCAGCTTCCCTTCTTGGAGAATGAGATCACCTGTCGCACTGGTTACACTTTGTCATCATGTTCAATCATTACGTCCTTTATCGAGAACCATTCTGCGCTTCATTCAAAATGAAACGAATCTACTAATGGTATGTCCAAACTTAGAATCCCTTGTCATCAGACAATAATAACCACTAGCAAAAAAATACTTCACAAACGTATGACATTTTAGAGGCACCCAGAAAATTCACATTTCAACAGTATCGACTATCAACTCAAATTATTTTCCCTTCCCGTCTGAATCACGAAGCAGGTATCCGGAATTCTAACAGAAAAAGAATTCAGTGGTCTATAGATTCTTTATCACTGAATCCCAGATTACAATTCAGTACCCGTAACTTTGACAACTCGAACCTTACTTCCCCAGTCAGTTGCACTTACTAATTTGCAAGATGAAGCAATCGATCTGTAAGCAGGTTAGGAATCACAAAATTGAAGTATTAGCTGTATTATATCACTAGTTGACTGAAACCCATCACACAGTTCTAGTTAGAGAAACATATTGCAGAAAAGCATAACATAGGGTAGAAAGTGAAATAAAGTACAACCAGAGAGATGTCCACCGCCACGGAGTATATATATATATATATATATATATATATATATATATATATATATAAAGTAATTATTATTGTTATTATTATTATTATTATTATTATTATTATTAATTTAACTGACTTTTAGATACATGAGTTGGTCTGGTGATGGAAATTTTAATCATGGCTTATACATTCATGACACAGTAAACACGAAAAATGAAAATAATCATACGTAGAGAATAAGACACTTAGTATTTAGTCATTAGGTGGCTAAATCAGACTAAAACTAACAGCATTGGTCTATCTCCAAAAAAAAAATAGACAAAGAAAACATCAACGCAGAACCCCGCATAAAAGTGTACCGGCTCAAGTTGTCACAGTTCACAGTAACATAAAAAGAACGGGTGAATAGAAAAAGACTGATATAAAGGTAGACAAAGCTGTGTTAGAGGATAAACAATCTGAAAATAAAGGTAAATATGAGTATTCAAGTTTAGTAGATGTCAAGTAGTGAATGCATCTGCTCCATTGCGACCGATTTTCAGCCATGCCATCAAGAATCCTCAACCACTAATTCCTTTCGTCTAGAGGATCTCAACCAAGCAGTCCAACTCTCCCCACACGACTCATGGACAGGTGTCACGTCTTGGTCTCGCCATCCCGACCCTTCTTCCCAACCTAATCCAAATTCCTCTACCATGACACAATAAGGTAGGCGGTGGCTCGGCATCCGCAGTACATGTCCAAGTCATATCAGTCAATGAAGGTTCTCAATCTCATCAACCGACTTGCCTGTCTTACATAGCACCCTTCGACTGACCTAAACATTCCTACGGTGATTAAGCCAAACGTGAGCAGTGCTACGAAGACATCTGTGATCAAAACGCTGTAATCACTTCATGTCTTCTACTTTCAACGGTCACAATCAAACGAAAAGACGAAACGGACTGCAGCACAGTGTACTTGTCCTCTGATAGGAGGTAGAATATCTCGTCGGCCGGTACCACAGATGGCAGAAGTTGGTAAATGCCATACTGGCCTTCTGTACCCCACCTGAGATTTCGTCAGCAACCAACCCGTCCAAGTTAATGCAAAGCCCCATGTAAACGAAGTGGTCGACATATTCCACCAGTTCAGTCCTTATCACTAAACTCGGAGTATTTGCAGCACACCAGTCCTGGAGTATCATCTTACATATGACAGGTCCAAAACGTGCGTCAAACATACTTGGATCTCCGCCCAAAGCATCTAGAAGACCCTACATTTCGCTAGCGTCTTCACGAAGTAGGACAATATCGTCTGGATACTCCAAGTCAACCAGATTACCTCTAGGGAGTAGGTTGATCTAAGTCAAGTCAGACGTACCTAAGGTTATAGTCATTAACACATCTATAACGAGGTTAAACAGGAACGGTGACAGTGGACAACCCTGACGAACACCATTAGTTGTCGTCAATTCTGAGGTCAAAAGATTACTTGTGATCCATAAACAATGAGTCTTTGTCTAAACACTACTTATCTTTCCGGAATGGGTGGACTATTTCTTTCAAGCATTTATCTGCTGTTGTTCTTATCACTCCATACGTTATCGAGAAGTTTCATTAGTTCCATTATTACACGTTAACTAGTTCAGAGAAGTCTAGTTACAAGCTAGTAGTTTCACAACAGGTTGATCCGATTACCATTGACCTCGACATGTAATGTTGGTTGACGTAAAATTATCTTGGAAGAAGCGAAAGGTGATAATATCAAGACATGATGTTCAAAAACTCGAATCGAAATCCACTCAGAGGCCTTGCGCACATTCGTCTGGTGGGTACTAAGCCGTACCTATTGTGTTGAGGCTAGTGATACTATCTGGCTAACCAAAAGACCTCAGTAGGTGGAGTGGTGTTCGAACCCGTGATCCACTGGTTAAAAGTCAACTCCCTAAACCGATGAGCCACAACTCTACTCAGACATGATATTATTGCATGCAGTCACTAATTTATAGCTTGTCAGACCTCCAGCTCATTAGTTTAGTTTGATTAGCTTTCGCTAACCTATAGAATTTACGGCGGCACATTGATATATGATTGCCTATTAGGGCTAAGTGTACTGGACTGTAATTCACTTTGTTTTGCTGTATGTCTGTGAAATATGACCACTAAAGGTGGAGAATATGAGAGTGCCTAAGGTGTTCAACCACCGTCACCCTTGTTGCATACGCTGTTTGTCATGGTACCACCATATCAGTAACGCAGAAGTCAGGTGTAGAGATTTAGGATGGAGAGGAGTGTTACTTGATGCGATTGTGAATGTTCATCGACTCAGATAGCTGGGACATGTGTAACGCATGCCCAGTCACCGTCTGCTATTTCGCACAATGTCAGCTGCAGCATATACAGGCTGGGAGAAAGTTAGAAGCATCTAAATATAAAAAAATATGGCATCAATTCATGAAGTCTTCGACTGTTGGTCAGAGCCAATTAGGAGAATGTAAAATTCTCGATTGAAGTCCGCGTGACAACATAAAGCAGTGGTTGGAGACTCCGGGTGATATGGCTCAGAATTGATCTGTGGCGCAGATGTACCCATACATTATCCTCATCGTAATTGTTCTACTGAGTTTCAAAAATGTCCCGTTCTTCCTTACTCTCTTTTATCCCTTTTGATGACTCTCTATCACTTTTGACTGCATCCTTTATTTCCTTATCCTTGATCTTGGTGCATGCTCGCTTGATGTGAAGATATGAAGTTGGGGAACTTCAATCGCTACGCGGAAAGGCCTGGTTCTACGTCAATGTAATCTGTTCGCTAGTTTGAGCGACGTAAGGTGTCTTAACGAGGTACTAGTAATCAGTGATTTGATGTTATCTGTGATGAGGCTGAAAACCTATCAAAGTAAAGTAGATGTGCCTACTTATCATCAAAACTTGAACCATTTTATGAGGCTTTACTATTTGTAAAACACATTTAACAAACTCTCTTTTATTGAAATACCTGTTTCATGATTTCATTCTCGTAATTTTGCGTAGTATGGCAAACCAAACTAATGCATTATTATATTATGGGTCCATCTATTGTCTTTCTTCATAACAGGTGGGTCACGTTGCAACGATAGTGCATCATTTGCATATAGACCAACTAAACAGATCATGCTGCAGAAAAAGTGAGATGCTGATGGAAGAATAGATATCGTATCAGCACAATATGACATCAAGGTTTTATCAAGCAAAACTGACCTTTCTAGTCATATATAGTTACTAAAAAGTGCGACATAAACTACAGATTCTCAAAAATATGAATACATAATTCCAAATCAGCACAGATTTTCATATGAATAAATGATACGTTAACTCTAGTACAGTTGATAAAGTTTAGAAAGTGATGTATTCATTATCACATTTCTTGGCATTGATACCTTTGTGTGAAATGATCTTAATCAACAATTTAAATGTGCCTTTGTCCAAGACTGTTAACATTTTGTGCGATTAAGTATCCTCTAGAAATCAAAATTTATTTCTTCCTTATAAACTAACAGTTTAAGAATCGAAGCGGTTGGAACAGATACGTTTGCTTCATTATCTATTTCGAAAATAGTGTCTTAAACACAATAATCAAACTGAGAATACATCTTTTGAAGGTTGCATTTATTCGATCATACTTTCGATTTGCTAGAACAAATTCATCAGCTTGTATCCTACATGTGCATAACTCTCGATATACATATCAGTGGCAAAGTGCTTTCATGTTAGCTAGAGGAAGAATGCAGCAGTAATCAATACGATGCATACACGTGAGTTTTTTTGCGATCACTGAACTGCAGTGAAGTATTCAATACTTCAAATATTGGTTGTTACCCACCAGAGCGATAAACAAATAAAACCAAAACATGTTGCTCCTGCATGTGGTGAAACTAAACATCTACTACAGGGGAAACTTGAATGATTAATCAAAAAATAAACTGAAGTGAAACTAAGACAAAGAACTCACATTCTCACGTATGCTAAGTGCTCGTCGACACAATGGTTCGGCTTCAATAAAGCGACCAACTTTGGCATGTAAAACAGCCAAATTGTTTAGAGCAGCTGCAACCTAAGTGGAATAAAGTGAATGTATTAAGACGCTAGACTTAAATCGGCTAATATATATATATATATATATATATATATATATATATATATATATATATATATATATATAATTTATTATTTTTCCCTCGGGTTCCGAGTGGAACATAGGGCTTCAGTAGCACGCCTCCATTCCACTCTGTTCTCTGTATTCTTTTCAACCTCACTCCACGACTCCCCAGAAGCTTTCACTTCTTCGTCACACAATTTCCGCCATGTCACCCTCGCCTCGGACGCCCAACTCATCGTTTCCCCTTTGGACTCCACTCGAGGGCCTGACCTGCCGCGTGATGTCCCCTAATGGTCTTCTCAGTGTACGCCTGATTCAATCTATCTCCACTTTCTTCTGCATATTTGTTGGCCGATGGGTTCTTGGTTGATTCGTAGCCCGGTCAGAGTTCCTTGTTTCTTATTCTTTCTGGCCATCTGATCTTCAGTATTGAGTGAATGTAGGCGGCAGCAGTTGATGTATTTCTGTAGTTTGTTGGAAATGGTTTTCGTAACGCGCCAAGTCTCTCAACTATCACATAGAAGCACTGACTTGTGCATTATCCTGAGTGCAGTAGATTTTGAGTGTATGCCCCTCTTCTCGCTCCTCACGGTTTGTTGCATGATCTAGTCAACCACAATCAGGAAGATTATCGGTGATAGTACGCAGTCTTGTCTTACTCATGTCTTCACTTTAAAGGGGTCACTGAGCTTTCCATTGTGAATTATTTTACTATATTAACATAGCATAAAACTGAAGCGTTGTAACATAACCACGACAACCCTGAGGAAACAGCAAAAGGAGTGATATACAAAGATCACTTTAGAATTTGTAGCCGATAAGAATACATAGACTAGGGACAATAACAGAGTTAGTAGTCTTATCAGAGAATCACGACAGTACTGTTTTAGAGGACGCCTCAGAGTGACAGAAAGCAACCTTACGATTAGCCTTTATGTCACAATTAGTAGTCTACGTGTGTGAAAGCAGGAGTATTCAACCAAAGAATTTCAAGAATGACATACATAACGACATTCGTGAGAACTACATAATTGATAAGTGGTTTGGTGGTGAGCTACGTATCGAAAAACATACATTAGTATGGCGATAGTGTGCAAACACCTTACTATCGAAATTTTGTAGCAATGAAATAATCAAAAGTTTATCATACTCACTGATCACCATGCACTGATGTGAACAAGTTATAGCTCCTAAGATAACGTGAGTAACTGGCGCTATTCTCAAACTGACTGCTAATCAAAGTCACGCAAAACAAGGATACTGAATAGATAATTGCTCACAATAATCAACTTATTTGTCAGCTACACTCAATTAGCGATCCTTACCAAATATAAACGGACTGAATCATACTGACACACCTGACAAACCGGTTAAGTAACTAAGTGTATCACTCATCGTGAATCAAGGTGACTGGTATTTTAAACTGACCATCTGATTTCAAATCTCACAATCAAGTTTTATTTATTGATATCAAGTCGAAAATCCTGAAGCTATGGACTATTAGCTTGAGCGTTCGACCTTCAAGCTATAGCTCCTGCGTTCAAATCCTGCTCTAATTACTACAGTCTGAGGGATCGGGTAATTATTGCGTCCTAATACAATGTATGGCTCATGATCTAGTGCATGTGAAGCTGTGGCTCATCGGTTTACGGAGATGACTTTCAACCGACGGGTCACGGTTGGAGCTCCCCCTACCTATCGACGTTTGGGCAGTCAGGTAGTATCACTAGCCATCGCACAACAGGTGTGGCTCATTGCCTACTGCACGAAGATGCACAAGGCTGTTGAGTTCATTTTGATTTAATGCAAAGACACATGTACCACGTTGAGTTAAATTATTCATTACATTATGTATCATTTCGAAAACTCTTAGTCACCTTCCCTATTATTGATATATACTCCTTAAATTCTACATTTGACTTACTTTCAGAACTCACAATATTATCAAACGTTTATCAATTCGTTAAACCTCCAGGTTATTCAAGGATGACTACCTCAACGTTCCGAAATGTAAAACCAATAGTACTACTGTTTTAACAGTTAATTGGACTTAGTTAAGTTATTTTACTGCATAATTTAAGTTTTCAACCTCAATCAGGAATTTCGCTTTTCTGACTGTTATCATAATCGCTAGATATTTAACTACCCTTAAAACAATTGTACCATCATCATACGAAGCAATTTCTCTTCTTACTTTCTAACTGCAAGTTTTCCAAATAGCTGAGATTTCAAGTTATCGATCACTGATACAGGGGCACACAACGTATACGATATAGATAACATTGCCCATAAATAACGTTACTACCTCTAAGCCTTCGTACCAAAATCCAATCCACGGATTTAAAACATACTTTAAATTCCCAATGCCTGAAACTTCTGGAATGAATGAGGAATGTAGGATTACAATACACTTTATGGTGTTAAAATAGTCATATAAAACATACCAACACATGATTGGATCCAAAAACCTTCTCCCGTATAGAGACCACCTCTTTGAGGATATCAGAAGCATCCTTGATCTTACCTTGATCTCTACAGCAGAAAATAGACAAGAGTTGATGATGAGGCATGAAGTCTTTACAGCGAAATGAATAAATGTTAAGTACACTAGTCAGTTAGTTTCTCCGCAAAAAGATCGTTGAAAAACAATCTTTTTGGAGAAATGCATGTAATGTGAGTTGGATGTTTAGCTTCGTGGAAGGTAGTCAAAATACTAAACAATTAGCTTCTAATTACTTTTTGTGTAATAAACACTGCTTTGCAACTAGTTAGTTGTTAATGCAACAGGCTGAATTCGATGGTTTGCGATAATGAGTGCTTAAACAAGTAAACTGAGAAAAAGCAGTTCTTAAAAGTAACTCTCCCACTTCTCTACATTTACTATCCAGCTTATCCTTTGAGATGAAGTTATTTTTGTCTGAGAGACAGAATTCTAGAAACATTCAGGAATATGCAAAATAAAATCATACTTAAACCATTACTCACCGATAAACCAGAGCTAAAATGTTCAGTAAAGCAGCAACTTCAGCTTGATCACGCCCACCAGCTTCTTCTAAATCTCGAATAGTTTGTAAACATAAGGACGCTGCAACGTCATGTTTTCCTTGACTTGTATAGCGTATAACTATATGATATAATGTTCTTAGTCCTGGAGGAACATGAATTGACTGAGAATTTTGATGTTCGTTCACAGCATGTGAATCATTATTTTTGCGATGTCCGTTTACGGACAATGAATCTAAATCAGTATCCAACAGGCTGCTAGACATAATTCCACTCAATTGAAAATGACTGCACGTTGCAACTGGTGACAGATTAGAAACATTCAACTTAGGTGGTTTGTTGTGTACAGTGAATCGGTCTACATGATTAGAAACATTTATGTGGTTTGATGTACTCATAAGACCAAGAACAGATGTCACCATTCTTGGTGGCTCATTTTCCGAACTTTCGAAACATGAATCTAGTTTTTAAGCAAAAAAATTACCAAGAGAAGTTAACTAGGAAACTAAACACTCATATAGAAGTAATTAATGAGTATTCTTATGTAGGTATGATAACAGACCCAACGGACAAACAAAATCAACGTAGAACCTCGCACAAAAATGCATCCGTTCCAGTTGCTACACTTCACAGTAGTTTAAAAAGAACAAGTGGATCGAAAAAACTGATATCAACGTAGACAAAATTGTATAAGAGGATAAACAATTTGGAGGTTAGTTTAAATACTCAAAAATAAACACCAAATACTTAGGATTGACTTACGAACCGTGTCCACAAGTAATCATATGTAAGATACACTTGCAACCTGGAGGAAACTGACTTCTTCTGAAAGCTATGAACTTGCAGCTGTCACTGTCGCACTGGTGCACTACTGTTTAGCTACCGAAATCATCCCTAACCTCCTGTAGATCTGAATTTGGTGCATTGATAAATTAATAGACAGTAACCGGGTATCATGCTATTTAGTCGTGTTAATCAAACTCCATAAACGAAGTGTACAATGCGACTGCAAAACTAAATGGCTCAACACACAGATTAAATTTTTCAGTTCTGTCTAACGTATGATTTGCCGCCCAACAAAACAGATCTGGAACCAGGTGGAAAAGAAGATGGGGAATTGCAAATATTCAAGGAGGCTGATCGATTAACTATGTCATAGTATGTAATATTGATCCTAAAGTAAAAATGAAGACTCAGTGCAGCCGCAAAATATACATGGTATTTGTACGAGGCCCATCACACAACTTTTATCAAAATTTTATTTCTCGAGTTTTTATTATCCCTATAAGAACAGAGAATTGCAACACGAAGCTGATCAAATAATTCCCTAGTTTAACCCTTTTAAAAAAGCACAATAACTGGAATCCTTGTCACCCGAAAGGAATAAATTGTTGTGGTCAGACTGTACAATATGAACCTATCCTCCGATGTTTGATCATAGTAGGAAACTTCTGTCCAAACACCATCTGATAGTCTTTACTGGTGATGCAGAAACAAAAAAATAGGCTTTCTATTGAACACTGCCAATATAGTAACTTTCAGTAATGTTTTAATGTAAAAATTTTTTTGAAATATTAGTGAAGTCCAATTTTTGTAAAGAGAAAAAGACAAACATAAGACTCCACGATGGAAAACACAACTTTTACCTTTGAAAGTTACAGTTATAATCAACAAAAAAACACGAGAATCTTAGGAATGTCTTGCATTTCTCTGTTTTTCAATGCCAGATAACTGTGTCGAAACAGAAAGTGCGGTGTTTTAAATGGAGTTTATTTCTTTAAAGAAATGACAGTGCAAGTCTTGGATATGAGACATAAATTGCATGTTTTTTAATTTCTTAGAAAAATAAAATGTCCGTTGACTGATGCCTAACCGAGACTTGACAACGGCTGAGTTGGGAAAACCAGGCAGGTTTCATATCTGAACGAGGCTATAGCGGCCATATCTTTACACCCGGCAAGTTTGTAGCACGGACATACTCACTAGCTACCAGTACACTATATTTCTTGACGTGAAGGTGGTATCCGACCGTGTCGACTGAGAGGTGTTGCGGCAGTGTCTGACTGGAAAAAGAGTACTGAGCAGGCATGTAATGTTAATCAAAGATCTCGACTCGAACTCATGCAGCCGTGTTAGGATTGATGGAGGGTTGTCATTTGAATTGACGAAAAGCAGCGGTGTCTAAGGTTACCGGCCTACACCGTTCCTGATCAATTTCATTACAGACAGCTTAAGACATAACCTTAAGTACCTCCAACTTTTAAGGTACTTACCTACTCCCTGGAAATCATCTGAACAACTTGGATTATGCAGATGATAGTCTTATTAAGTGAAAGTGCTGACAAAATCCAAGGTCTTCCGAACGGCTTTAGCATACATCTGAGGACTTTTGGCATGCGTTTTGCACGTGACAAATGTAAGATGATGCTTTATGACTGGTCCACAGCTACTGTCAGTTCAAGAGTAGAGTTTGAAGTGGTTCAATGTATCAGTTCGTACGGGTTGGTTGGCTACGAAATCTCAGCTCAAATACAAAAGCCTGTTCGGCACTTACCAACCAGCGTCATCACTGACGCCGGGGAGATATCCAACTACCTGTTGAAGGATGAGTAAACTGCTTTGCAGTCGCTTTTCCTCTATTATTTGTTTATGTGTCATCGTCGACGATAATAAAAGTTATGAGGAGGCTTCAGGTTTCTGACTATTGGTGTCTCCCTGAAATTAATTGCATGTGGTTGAATCCCCGTGTGGACAATTCAGATGTTAGGTAAATGGTGGCAGATAAGGCTGGTAAGCCAGACGATGTGGTGAACCTCCATCAATGGCGGTGACTTAGACAAGTGTTGCGCATATTGAATCAACGCTGACCTCGACGATGTAACCCGAAGTAAGGTTGCGTTGGAAGAAGGCTCACGGTAGTCGAACTAATTTGTGGTACCGGTCGACGAAATCACTGGTTGCTAATCTAAGCCGTGTATGGATATGTAAAGCGCCTGGTTGGGGTCGTCGAAACAATAGGAATCAACGGTTGGAAAGCCTTGGTGACAAGGCTGAAAATCGGTCACAATGGCGAAGGTATATTCACTCTAGAACGTCCTATAAAGCGTGAACATTTTCAGTATCCTTGACTTTCTTCTCCCGAAGAGCTTTACTCACTTTAATATCACTCTTTTTCCACCTACCTGTTCTTTGTATGAAACCGTAAAGTGTGGCAACTTGAACCGATGCATTTCTATGGCACTTTCTAAATCGATTGTGTCACTGTCCATCGTTTTGTGTACAGCATAACTTCAAGATTTATACAAAGCAGTCAACAACTATTGAAGTGTTGATGCACAATTTTCATTCTTACTTCTACTCAAGACCATTAACTACACTAAACGGATTAGCAGCCAAATGAAAAATTCCGGTGCGAATAAATTCCAGTTACAGTGACAGTTAACATGAAGTCGAATAAACAATGCAGTGGCATACCACCTACGTTTATGCGATTAAAACTTGGAAATAAGATGATGTTATAAACATTTTTATACTTCTTTCTACTTTTTGTTCATTACATGATGGATTCCATGATAAGACTGAGTCAATCGAAAGTCTTTCGCTGACTGTTAGTATAATTCGGAAGTAGTAGTCGATTGTTAACTCACACTGAATACATACCCCAAGTTGCACATTTTTACAACTTCCGACAACCGATTCAGTTATCAGAACAAATTAACACTTATTTTCCTAGTTACTTTACTTTCACTGCAAGATTTCTAAAAAAATTGATGACTGCAGCAACTGATATAAATTATACAGATAGAGAGTTGATCATTAAATTACAGCCATCAGTACTAACAGATTTTGCAGAAGAAAGTGTTCTAAATCCTGAAAGTGATTGGTAATAATAGACTCAGAGAAATATGGAAATAACTAGAAGACTGAGTATTTATTCAACTCCTCACAGCTCATCTTAAGAACGTAAGCAAGAAAGAACTTCAAGGACAAATAGTTGAAACTACCAAGGTAGTAGATCACTTAATAATACCTAAGAACCCCGTAAAGAAAATAACTATGACGTTAGACCAGAGATTCTAGACCCGAATAGCAACAATGACCTTTAAAAGTTATGTACTTGAAAAGAAAAATTTTTATAGGATTAAAATAGCTTACTTTGTTCAATCCCAAGATTACTGGGAGAAAAGTGGTCGTATTTCTTCAAATCAAGCAAAAATTCAAGATGTTTCTTTTCAACTTCAGTTTGAGCGAGTAAGGACTCATTTTCCTGAAAACTGTTATAAAGGACAACTTGAATAATTACTTCTAATTTTGACTGTGTGTACTTGAGCTCCTCCCGAGCCAACAAGTTTCTTCAGTTAATCTCTGGTTGTGTAACTGCATTTTTAATAGCTCTGCTTCCAGATGCTCAACATATTTTGCAAATGTAATCATAACCTTAAGATGAGTGTAAGTTTGCATAGCGAAAATACCTCCGAATCATCCAAACCCTTCTCGATTTGCCTTAGTGCCGCCTGGATTAGTGGAATTTTTTCTTGATTGAAAACTTTATCACATTCCGAACCCGTATTACAATTTATTGTTGAATAACTATTTGCTGAGTTACAATACGTGCTTAGGGCGGACAAGGCCTGTTCATGATCTTGTTTCAAAGACTCCAGCACCAGCTGGGCTTGTTTAATACTTTCTTTGACATGAGAAGGCATGCCCATCACCGAAATAACGTTACACAATTCTCAATTCAAGAAGTATTGGTTACTGAGACGATAAGAAAACTGTATGAATCAGAAAGTGCGCTTTTTTTCAGCGAAATTTATTACTTTACATAAAAAGGAACAAAAGGTAAAGTTGTAGACATAGATTAGTATATTCAAGGTATCACATTTAAAAGGTGGTTACTAATATTCCTGCTTCAAAAACGAATTCTATATAACGGTATGAAGAGATACAACATAAATATATAATGAAATATTGGTGAAAATGAGAAATATGCAAAGAATATTCTTAAGAACTTCAGGAAAACGCAAATAAAAATCAATGGTTTTACTGCCTTGTTTCGCTGCGTTTTTCTGTGAAATGATACACTGATGGGTAAAAATACCTTATGATATGACAATGGCACGTCACTCTAATATGCTAAGCCTCACAACAGCACCGTGATACAGAAATAAGAAATTCAACTGAGTGACCTCCTACAGGCTCATGTTTTAGTAGCATCACACATGGTATTTGAGGGCCCAGGGTAGTATCTCAACGCCGTCACCAATGAAGATGAGAGTTCGATTCCATAACGGAGGAACAGGATGGGATGATTCCTGGTTTTTTCGTGAAGCCTTACGTCAATAAGTCAATAACAAGATAAGAATAATAATAAATGCATCGGCCAACAAAATAGTGAGACAAGAGCAAACGAGGCAGATTAAACAATGAAATGTACAGAAAAATGAGGACTTTAATATTCAGAGAAAGACAGGAGACAGATGAGTTTGCATCGATGAGACTTATTTTGATCTCTGTGGCCTAGTCGCCGAACCCTGATTTCGAACGCCAAGCCAAAAAAATCGAAATCCACTCAGCAACCCTGGGCACATTCGTGCAGTATTCGAATAACCACACCTATTGTGTGAGGGCTAATGATACTGCCTGGTCCCCCAAACCTCGGTAGGTGGGATGGCGCTCGAACCCATAACCCGCTGGTTGAAAGTCAATTCCATAAACTGAGCCACAACCCCAAGTTGTAAAACGGATCTAATTGAAAAGACCTGAAACTCTCTGCATAGGTTTCAACAGACTGCAAACAACTTTATTGCTTAATGTTACCTCTCAGTTACCAGATGATCCAAACATGTTACATAACCTCTCAGTAAAATAAGTACAGAGATGGTCTCAGTTTAATCGATGACATCTTGAATGACCCACTTAACTCTATAGCCAAGATATGATGCTCTCACCTGCAAGCAGAAGCGAATTCCGTTCACACTGTAGACGCCTCGGTCAGATACTCACTTTTTACTACAACAAAACACTCATGAAACAAGTTTTCATCAGCCTCCCAAATGACGTTTCTTTGCGTACGAATACCTGAGCTGAGCATTCAACTCTTCAGTCGATACTAAAACGTCCATCAAGCGTATTTGGAGGACAAAAATTTATTTTTGACTGCAACTTAGCTGAAGTTACAGAATAAAAAGTAATTACTAGGAGACATCGCTTTTTTGACTACCCATTTGTTACTCCAACTGAAACTCTTACACTAGCCTCATAAACAACCATTAACACGCATCTAGTGAACTAGTGAAACCTCAGCTTGTGAAAAGCCGATACCAGCCACGCCGGATGCAAACACTGCGTGGTCCCCAGATAAATAACTCTACAGCATACTTTCCGAGCTGATAGACGGAAAAAGTAACTGAAGTATTTCAACAGAACCACGTTAAGAAGTTACTAAAACGATATACAGGGAAATCAGGATCCAAAAATTTAACCAAACCTGTATTTTATCTGATCTGCAACAATGCGAATCCGGAAGGACAACTTAATAGAAGTAACCTTCGGGTGATTGCAATAAAATTAACCTAGTGTTGGAAGTAGAGAATAGCTAAATTCATAAGAATATACGATAAGCGGCTCAGTGTAGTATTTTTATATGTGCCCATAATTGTTAGCTACAAGGTTATGTAAGCACTCAAGGGTCATCAGTGCATAAATTTCACCGTTTTTATGAATGTTACGCAAATGCTCAGCTTGAAACAGCATTTTTTTGGAAAGGAACGTTCCTTAAGTTTACAGCTTGAATTTTAGTCCACAAAGTAGTGAGATTAAGAGCTGCATTAACAAATCTGTCGGAAACCAGGACAGGTTTTCGCATTATTTTCTGCTTCAAAATCTTAGAGCTCACGGGCACTACTTTGGAATCAGTTTCTTGAAAACCCTTACGTGAGCAGATCTTACCTCCCAATCTGGTTTTAATCCTGGATATTTGCTGACTCAAACTCTTGCGAAAGCCACGAGATTATAGTTAGCACGACTTTGATGAAGCGTTATACTGATGTGGCCATCAAAAAGACTGCGAGTGGGATTTAGGAGTTCATCCAATAGCTGAACTGCGTCCAAGACTGTTTCAACCTACTTGCTTCTTTTATCTAGCAGCCTACTTATAATGACAAAATTGCTGATTAAAGAGACGGCTGGTGCATTGTCAGTTGAATTTCACTCATTATATTGAGTTGGGCAATACCATTAGCGATCAACTAACTTGGATCCTAGGTTCGGACATGAATACGGTTATACTAAGCAAATCTGTTACATTTTACGATGTCGCTAGAACACGTGAAATGACAGAAATGAAGGAATCTCTTAGATCACTTATGAGGACAAAGATTATTATCCACTTTAAAAGTGGAATAAAACACTCCAATACTGTGGCGTATGCCACGTGCTAACAAATAAACCATACTTGATTACAGCCGTCGTAAAATCCAATCAGCCAATTTATTGCCCTGGTCCTTGATTTCAGGTTAGTCAGGAGGTACACGTTCCCAGCCACCGTACTCCTTAACTCTTAACAAACAGCCATGGAAACCAAGAGTCATGTGTTTATCGGTAAGACAGAATCAAATCTTAAACGTAATGCCTGACTCTGATGCCATACAAACAGGAAACCTAGGTAACATTCTTATTATTCGGTTACAAAGTTAACAGAACAAAGACTAACACCAGATAAAAAACCAGCCAATCCTAACACGACCTTAATAACTCCAGTTGGGCGCCTCTATGTGGCCTACTATAAAACAGATAAGAAAAACTTCTTCACCGTCCAATGTAACAGTATGCGTGCAATTTCAATACAGCAGCAACTTAACAAAGTTTACTTTGACTCCTCATCCAACATTTCGTATGTAAATGTCGACAAGTGAAAGTTTTTAAATTATCATATCTATTTCTGAAGGCTAAGTAGTCGTAGCTGAGGTACTACTCTGGGCACTGAAGTCCTTTCCATACCTCTTCGTAGAAAGCCTACAGAGCTGATGCTCTCCTATGGTTACTTGTTTGTGTATTTCGCAGTCTTAGCAAGTCAGGAAGATAATGAGTTCCTGGGACAACTTCTAACTACGTTTTATAGAAACAGCAGGCGATGGTTCCTTAGAGAGATTCTTCTTCATATCTGAAAAACCTGAAAAGGCAGAAACAGCTAACAATCAGTGTGTTTGCATGCGCATGAGTTATGCAGGTGACAACACCTACGGCAGTGCTGAGGTTCCCCTGCGCTCAGTAGTCAATCACAATGACAGGATTTGAAGACTATGCTGCACTTAAGACTAACCGAAGCCCGACGTTCCAGAGCAATTCAGGCAGAACGTTTACTAAAATGAGTGACGGTGTGTTCACCATCTCATATGCACCATTACTTAGGTCTGAACCGGCAAACTTTGTACAAGTGGCAAATTCTTCTCTGAAAGACAACTCAAACCGTCCATATAGGGTTTTCAGGACAGGTAATTAGGAAGCTTACCAATCGATAACAGTGGAAAAAGATCGTGGTGTTTAGGAAAATTCGAACCAATGACCTCGGACCCTGCGGCTCAATGGGAGCATGTCTTCTGTGAAACTGTATGAGCTGGGCTCGACGCGTACCGAGGTCATGGGTGCTTGTCGCCCTTCACATACCAGGACAAAACAGCTCTCCGGTGTTCCAAAGTTTTTAGTGGTGTTCCAACTAACATTAGTCTGTAATGAACACTTACTTCAAATGTTACCTTTCTCTGACAAAACTCATTCTAAGGGGACTTGGGATACTGCTTTTAGTGCATTCCACTGGGCAGTTGCAACCGTTTCATAATAACTGACGGACGGACAGAAGCGGCTGTCAGCCTCCTCAACGCGTTCTCAGTAAGTGTCAAGATAGCTCACTGTTGGACAGAAAACTCCTTGCTGCTTACGGTTTGATGCACCACATTAGATATTCTGTTAAATTTCGCAGGTCCATAAATCTAAAAAAGCTGAAACAACTGCTTTTTCTTTTGTCCTCGTATTGGATTATTGCTACCTAATGCCAGCCACGACATCTGAAGCGAACAACTCCGTAGCTGAATAAATATAGGAATTTGATCAATAAAGTTTACCGAGCACCGTGACGTCGTTGAAATAGGAGAGGTAAGCATTGTCGACCGGGTTCAGGATGGAAGGACCGACTCAGTTTTCTAGCTGGTAGATAGAGCGTAGATGTAACACCTGAGACAAGGCTATCGGTCCACCTTAAGGCGGAAAAGGCATGGAGGTAAATTCAGGTCTCCGAAGCACGCCAAATGTAGTTTCACTACTGCTACTGACCAACCTTCCCCACTGGGAGGTGAAAATGGCCCAAAGAGATCTAAATCATCTCAGTCGAACACAATCAGACGATCAAAGATACCAATGCCCCGGAACATCCAAGTCCCTGTTTCATACATCCCCTCAAACACCTCCGTCCTCAATCAGCAGATCCAGAACTTACTGGTCCAGTGATCGACTCTTCATGCAATTACGAAGGCTGACACACATGCGATCTCACTGTCTCTAAAAACTACTCAGATTTTACGTGTAGTGTCGTAGGGATGTACCAGACCGATATTAATGCCATGGCTGGTCACTCATGCACGTGGTCCTTACGAATCCCCTGAGAAGGCTTCTTTAGGTCACTTCCGGCCACTGACCTCTGACGGAAAGCACCTAA